ATGTCATGTGTCATTACTACCCCTACACCTATACTGTTAGATGTCAAATTCTGTAATTTAACATGTCATGTATGTCATTACTACCCCTACACCTCTACTGACAGATGTCAATTTAGTTATGTAACATGTCATCATGTGTCATTACTACCCCTACACCTATACTGTTAGATCTCAAATTTCGTTATGTAACATGTCATGTATGTCATTACTACCCCTACACCTCTGCCCTCAGACTGTTCGAGATGGAGAAAGACTTCCAGAAACTCTTTAAGCGTCTGATGACACAGAAAGAGAGCGGGGAGTTTGTGTTCGACACGGCGAGGCTGGAGCGGCACGCCTCGCTGGTGATGAAGCAGCTGGGCCAGGCCGCCGAACACACCGACGACTCCATCAACTTCTCCGCCTCCCTCCGGCTGCTGGGGGAGAAACACGCCGGATATAACGTCAAGCCGGAGATGTTTCCGGTAGGTCAGAGGTCACGTGGTTTTGGTAGGGTAGAGGTCACGTAGTTTTGGTAGGGTAGAGGTCACGTGATTTTGTTAGGGTAGAGGTAACGTAGTTTTGGTAGGGTAGAGGTCACGTGGTTTTGGTAGGGTAAAGGTCACGTGATTTTGGTAGGGTAGAGGTCACGAGGTTTTTTTAGGGTAGAGGTCACGTGGTTTTGGTAGGGTAGAGGTCACGTGGTTTTGGTAGGGTAGAGGTCACGTGGTTTTGGTAGGGTAGAGGTCACGTGGTTTGGTTAGGTTAGAGGTCACGTGATTTTGGTAGGTTAGAGGTCACGTGATTTTGCTGGTTGACAATTATTTTGATTTCTAAAAAAAAATACTGGTCATTTCTGTTGTTTACAAAACGGGTTGTCCATAATTGACGTCACGTTTTTTTTTACCGATTATTACACCCCACTCATTCCCACCCTTTCAATGTCATGACTCGTCAAAAAAGGTCAGGTTACTATTCCCCCCCCCCCCCCCACCCCCACCCCACCCCCCAATAAAATAACCATAAATATGATGCAATAAGATGTAGTCTGTCGTCAAAAACGTGAAGTTTGACCCCCAACCCCTAGGGATGTGACAACATTAACAAACGACCCCTAAGACTTAGTACATACGAGGTTAGGGACAATAGTTTTCGTTTAATAGTTGAACATTATAAATAATTAAAAACAAAGTTAATAAAGCATGACTTTTTTATTAAGTATTGCTTTTGTAGACCCATTGCCGGCGCCAGGTTATTTAGCGCCCTAGGCAAAACTTATTAAAATGCCCACTTTCACACAGATTAATTACTAAAACATATGTAAAAGAAAATAAATAATTAAAAGTGACATATTAATTTATTATCATTTGCATACACGTTATAAGTAGAAATCAAAATCAAATTTTTGTGCCTCCTTTGTCGCAAAAGTTTGTACTAATTCCTTCAAGCGTAATCACGAGTCTACTTTGTACTTACAGACATAGCCCCCCCCCCCCCTTACAAAATTTCAAATGCTTCTCTCTCCTCCCGCCCCTACCAAAAACCTACCAAACTATTTTGTTAAGAACTTCTGCTCTATATACTTTTTACAATCTATATATATAATTCTCTTCGAAGAGCCATAGAAAACACCACGCAGCTTAGCCACCACCCTCATTCCCACCTGTCAGGTGAGCTGTGGTTCACCCCGAATGTTTACAATCGTAGAGCCGATTTGAATACGTGACGGCTATTAGGGGCAGATAATTTAGTTTTTAAACGATTTGAAACTAAGGGGAGATAAAAAGTTCTGCTTGATATTTTCATTGTCGTCTGTAAACGTCTGCTTTCACTGAGCGGGGTGGGGCGGGGGAGGCAGGGGCGTGGGGTAGTGTCGAATTCACAAATTATGAATTGTTGATAAGTAGAAAATAAATCAACTACATAGCGGCGTATGCTACGTCGCGGGTCAGCTCGTAGCAAATAAAAACTAAAAGTTGTATTTATATGTAAGCGGTCAGCGAATTATCTCCCATTTGGAAATCCAAAATACCAAAAATTTATTCAAGGGAAAAAACTTTCAACAGACTAGCTAAATTAACCAAAACGGAAATAAGACACGCTTGCAAAACACAATAAAACGATCTAAATTTCATTACATATAAATTATAAGAAATCTTTTGTATTAGCTATGTAAACATGTCAAAACAATATATTTTACTCAATTTACTACTTAACTGTAAGTTTGGTTTCAAAGTCTAAAAACGGTAGCTTTATTATAACATATTTCTAGTCAATTTTGATGACATGCTTTTATCGAAGTGTAATTGACTGTTCTGTTTTTTTAAATTTTGGATCCCTTAAATAAAGGGACGCTTTTCAAATAATTCCATTGCGGGCAATTTAGGCTCGCGAACCGCATGCGGCTCTAATGATTTCATGATGCGGCTCTCCAGTTCCATGCTCAAATATCAAGTTTTATATATTATTACATTTTTAATAATCATTTAAAATATTATGAATAAAAGCAACTTTAAACAGGATAAAGACACCAGAGAACAATGAGTAGGTGCATTAGAAAGTATATGGACATCTGACAGCAGCTTGGGCACCAGGCCCAGCCCCACAGCTGTGCTGTAGCCAGTCCCGTGGCAACAATTAAATGTATGCCATTGTCCAAGTGCCGAATTCTTCGAATATCGTTAAACGAATAATGTTATTTTATTCATAATGCATTTCCCTAAATGTCAGTATGCATTAATTTGAGATGATTGACGTAGTTTTTTAGTTATGAGTTTCATACGGTCGAGCTGGGTACTGGGGGTGGACGATAAGCCCGGTGAGAACCAAAGGACAGAAGCGTCAGATACACAGTAATCAAACCGATACCCAAGCCGGTTAGTCGGAGTTTGCCGTGTCGAGGCCTGCCTGGCTAGTGGAAGACACCCTCTGAGCCGGTGATATCCGTAAAGAAAGAAAAAAAAAGTTCTTGGTTTATAAAGTGGATTGGGATAGTCCTATAGTTATGTTATCTGATTACTTATTTTATTATAGCAGAGCTAGATAAAATTCTTTAACATGATTTGTGCGAAATATAAGTATGTTTTTTTAAGTGTAAATAATCTTTCATATTTAAAGCTAGTTATTTCAAATAAAAAATCAAATTTATTTGTCCAATCTTAATCACATGCCAAAATATTGAAATAAAATGTTAGTTGCTCTTAAAAAACTGGGAACTTTTGTAAATTGTAACTTTTGGCTCTTCCGACTCAAAAGGTTGCCAACCCCTGGTTTAAGACATTGCTTTAATTATTGATTAAATAAAAAAAATTATAATTTGAAAAACTAAGTTTAAGGTTAGTTATGAATTTCAGCTTTTATAATATTATAGTGGTAATATCGATTCCTAAAAAACTCAAGATTTTTCAGCCTACCTTTCTTTGTAGTGTGTTCCGTCCTGAATTGAAAAATTGAAATAATCTAACATACGATAAACTCGACTACTCGATATACTCTACTACATTCACATACTTCGATACCTAAACATAACTAGACTCGATGCTCCAGAACTACGACACCAACTCGCTTAACTTCACCAAGCTCTACGAAAGATACTCTTAGTCAACAACGATTTCACTGGACCTACTACTACACATTAACAGTCAACACAATTCGATACCTTAATACCACAAGACGATTCATCAAAACTTACCAAACAAGTACAATACTTTGAACACCCCGTCATTACAAAACTCTATACACCAGGACAGATTTCTAATTCAAAGTCAGAGAAAACGAGACTTAAAAACCAAAATTGCACGTGTTTTAGAACACCCCTTCTATCGTTGGAGCGATCACTAAGTCAACATTAAAATTAGATAACCGTTTGAAATGCTTGAAATTTAAATTACGAACTTATTTCATCGTTTTCTACATAAATTACGTGACACAAAAAAGTGCCTGGTAAAAAGCGCCCCGACATTTAAAAATTAGGGATTTGGGGTTGCATTTTCACCATCGCGAATAAATATAGGCCTTTATAGACCTAAATTTGGGGTGAGGGTGCAAAATTGATAGTTCGTTCTGGACGACGAAATAGATCGCTACACCTTTGTATATTACGATTTATAGTTTATAAAAGATAATCAAAGTTATTAATTATTAGGTACTTTTTGATAATAGCGATTAAACCTTTTTGCGCCCTCTAGTGATAACGCCCTAGGCGATCGCTTAGTTCGCCTTATAGGGTGGCGCCGGCCCTGTGTAGACTGTGTATTAATGGTAAATTAAGGGTGTCATTCATGAAGACAACTGCTTGTTTTATTGATGTACAGTGTTTCTTCCAGACTTTTTTCTCCGGGGGGGGGGGGGGGGCACTTGATATTTTCGGGGGAGGGGGGGGGGCGGTCAACATTTTCCGGGGGGACGACGACATTGGTAAAAGTATATGTTTTCTATATAAATTCCATTTCGTTCGGGGGGGGGGGGGGGCGGTAGAGTTTCTTTGGGGAAGAAACTCTGTTGATGTATCGCGACACTTGATGTACTTCAGCTCAATACATTTTTGTCTCCCTTTGTTCCCCAGTTCTTCTGGCCAGCCGTGAGGGACGGGCTGAAGCTGAGGCTGGGAGACAAGTTCACGGTCAAGGTCGAGCTGGCATGGAAACACCTGTACGATTACGTCACGTCCAAAATCTCGGAGGGCATCGAGATGAACCGAGACATCAAGAAAAAAATACCACTCTAACGCCGGGCGACCCGCGCCAACCACAACAACATGCCTTAATGCGTACTCACTCTACATCAAGGGGGGTAACTTATTGTACAAGGGGGGTAACTTACTGTACAAAAAGGAAACTAATCCTTATATAACAAGGGGGTTGGGGTATCTCAAGGTGCATCAAGGTGGCTAACTCATTGTAGAACAAGAGAGACAAATTCTTGTAAAAGGGGAGATTACACGCTGTAAAAACAATGAGAGACAACTTGTTGAACAAAAACGGGAGGCTACTACTGGTACAAAAAAGGGGAAACCATCCATTGTACGTCAAAGAGAGACATTACAACTGTTATTTCCTGAGAACCACGCACACACTTGATAAACTTAAGGCCCTAATGTGCCTCAGTGCGTTTTGGTTTTTTTAACAAAAAAATTGATTAAACTCCTTCGTTAACAGTACGTCAGGCTACTGTTAACTGTGGCGTTGGCCCCAAGAGAAGCCAGAGTGCCAATCGTGGTCTGCCAGCGAGTCTGATGTTTGTTTACATCCAGCTAGGGATAACTCCGACTCCACACATGGAACATTTACATCATAAAGTATGAGTACCTCATGAGCACATTGTTTACAGTAATACTTCACGTCTTCCGTTCCAGTACTCTATTGCTGATGACGTCTCAAGCAAGACGTCATGTATAAGTAAGATGTAGTACCACTTATATGGATGACGTCGCAACCATTGTGTCTAAGATGTTACAGTTGTTTTTATATGTTGCTCTGACCAATGTATATACATGTTGTCATTCAACTCATCTTTGTGGCATTGTGTTGGCGACTTGTTGGTCGTCTTGTAGGTCTGTAGATACATGATGGTCATTTGATGGTCTACGGATGGTCATTTGATGGTCTACTAGTGGCTAATTGATGGTCTACTCATGGTCATTTGATGGTCTACTAGTGGCTAATTGATGGTCTACTCATGGTCATTTGATGGTCTACTAGTGGCTAATTGCTGGTTTACTCATGGTCATTTGATTGTCTATAGTGGCTAATTGATGGTCTACTGATGTCATTTGATGGTCTACTAGTGGCTAATTGATGGTCTACGGATGGTCATTTGATGGTCTACTAGTGGCTAATTGATGGTCTACGGATGGTCATTTGATGGTCTACTAGTGGCTAATTGATGGTCTTCTCATGTCATTTGATGGTCAATTGAGGGTGTGTTGGTGGTTGTTCGATTGCGTTTTTGTTGGCTATTTGTTGGTGTGCCGGGATCACTTGTGGTGTGTTGTTGACTACCTGATGGTATGTTGTTGACTACCTTATGGTCATTTGCCTGGTCATTAAATGATTGTCAGCCTGCTGTCATTTCTGCATGTGCTGTCTTGTTTGGTCATCCACTTTGCCAGTTGTTAACTTTCTATTGGTCACCATTTTGTGATATACATTGTAAAATAATCAATTTCATTAAATTTTTAGCACTTAATGTGAACTATATACCAGCTACAACTACACATAGACCTAAGTGTATAAAATCATAAACGAACATCCTAATTTGAGTCTAGTTTTTGTAGAAGTAATCCATTTTAATGATGAATCAAATAGATTCTTTGCTAGACAAAAACAATACACATTCTTCCAAATAAGAATTTTTTTATCGGTATTCTATGTATCATTTTTAACAATTTTTATTGGCCAATAAGCTATCATGTTTAGGTAGGTAATGTTTTCAAACTTTTTGTTGCAAGTTTTGGTAAAGGCAGTTGCTTGTAAAATGCATTAACTCACTGATTTATACATCACGTGTCTACACAAATGATTTATTCTCAGATATTTATGTTTCAAAATAATGTTTTGACTCCCCAATCAACGTTAAATTTGATTTGAAATTATTAAGTCTTCTAAAATATAAATACGCAAAGGTTCATAAATTATAGCACAATTTATAATTATTAATTCGTATTCTAAAATTTGAAATAAAAAACTGAAACTAAAGAATGTACTCACATATTTAATTATAGAATACTGGTCGCTGCATTTATGTAAGCTCCTTGTGACATATCGTCATCTTTGTATATCTACCTATAGTCCAACAGTAACACCCTGCACAAACTAGCCGTAATACAACCCCCCCCCTCCCCACACCTCTGTATATCTACCTATACTTCGCCAGTAACACCCTCCATAAACTAGCCGTAATACAACCCCCCCCTCCCCACACGTTTGTATATCTACCTATACTTCGCCAGTAACACCCTCCATAAACTAGCCGTAATACAACCCCCTCCGCCACCTCTGTATATCTACCTATAGCCCAACAGTAACACCCTCCACAAACTAGCTGTAATACAACCCCCAACCCCCCTCCCCCCACCTCCGTATAATCTACCTATAGTCCACCAGTAACACCCTCAGAAACCGTAATACAACCCTCCCCTAACCTCTGTATATCTACTTATAGTCCACCAGTAACACCCCCCACAAACCTTAATACAACCCTCCCCCCACCTCTGTATATCTGCCTATAGTCAGCCAGGTCAAACTAATGATGAAGGATGTCAGTACTTGATGTGTTTTAAAGGTGCCTTAAAAGTGAGGCTGAACCATGAGAACAATATTGACACACGACACCCAAATGTACCGAAATCGTCGTTTACTAATAGATTATTATCAAAACGGTATCGAACTTAAAAGGTTATTAAGAGTTATTTTAAACTCTTGTTTATAAAAACTGTCTGTTAGTATATAGCTGAATTCCTGTCTTGTAGTTTACATAATGGAACGATTGTCCTTTGCAACTTCTCAAATAAGTGCATGTCATATGATAGCACAATGGCTCCATATTTCGTATCTAATTAGATATTAAATAAATATTTAAAATGACTCTAATGACGACGTTTCATTACAAAAGGGGCGATAACTAGCTAGTGGCAATCACGTGATCAATCAGGTGACCTGATGGACGAATGTTCACATGACTAAGCACCGAGACATGCGTCAATAATTTAATAAAGCAACTTCTTGTTACTTAGAAAATAGAAACAAATTTTTCATAAAAACCGTTTTAGTAATAAGCTTTTATACTTAGCATAAAAACCTGAACGAAATTTGTCTTTAGTTAGTATAAAAGTAAAACTTATGCGTGACGTATGTTTTGGAAATGGTAGCGGTGAACACTTCATGAAATTTATTTAGCCATTTTTTTAAGACAATTATCCAGCTTGTTAAAATAAAGGTCGTATTTTTCTACACATTTTCTTAAAGATTACATTAACTGTCAATCGACTGACTTATGTTTACATCTGAAGCGACCAACAATAAGAATCAGTACTATTCGACCAACAATAAGAATCAGTACTATTTGTTCATGCGTGTAGCTAAAATTGAACTCAGAAACCTGTTGGTCATGGCTGTGTGGTGTTGAGTGACTAGAAATATAACTAACACGTGTCATTACGGCGCACACGTTGGCCTAAAAACCTGAATACTTTTATAATTTTATTTGCTAGTAATATATACAGTTCAAGGATATGCGTGTTAGCAGTGTGGAGTATCAAGCTAAATCTGATTATGCTTATAGGTTTAGTATCAGTGGTGTAACGATCTGTGCGCTAAACTAGTTTCAACATCATGAATATCCATAGCACGTCATATCACCCTCACGGATATATACAATATATACTTGAAACATAGTCAGCCGCCACCTCCCCGGGATGTTTTAAGTGCCACCTCTCTCAGAAGTTTCAAGTTCTCCAGTGCGCCCCCCCCCCCCCCCCCCCCCAACGGAAAAGTTGTCGAAAAAAAACAACACATTTTGGTTTAGGAGAAAAAACTAGAGAAATAAAGTAGATGACGAAAAAGTTTCAAATTTCAGAGCTTATAAAAATTGAACGGCCGAAAATAATGTGGAGTAGCCTGTAATTTCTTAATTATTGAGAATTTCATCTACACGTATTTTAATATTTTAAAATGTTTTGGCTATTAGGCCTACACATATTTGAATGCTTCTTGATTTTTGTCATCTCATGTCATTTTCAATTTTTTAACTTTTTATTCATCCTATGTAATTTTCTATTTTTTAAAAAACTTTTTGTCCTTCTAATGTATTTTGTTGCCGTCTCATCGGGTTTTGAACCCCCTTCTCTTGGAGAACTGCTGCTTACACCAAGCCTTGTTGAACATTTGAACCCTGGCCGGCGAACCAACTCACTTAGAGAACTGCTGCGTATTCGAACACTGGCCAGTTCAGTACACCTGTCATTTGAACCCTGGCAAGTGCAGTACACCTGTCATTCGAACCCTAGCCAGTGCAGTACACCTGTCATTTGAACCCTGGCCAGCGCAGTACACCTGTCATTTGAACCCTAGCCAGTTCAGTACACCTGTCATTTGAACCCTAGCCAGCGCAGTACACCTGTCATTTGAACCCCGGCCAGTGCAGTACACCTGTCATTTGAACCCTAGCCAGTTCAGTACATCTGTCATTTGAACCCTAGCCAGTTCAGTACATCTGTCATTTGAACCCTAGCCAGTTCAGTACATCTGTCATTTGAACCCTAGCCAGTGCCATACACCTGTCATTTGAACCCTAGCCAGCGCAGTACACCTGTCATTTGAACCCTAGCCAGTGCAGTACACCTGTCATTTGAACACTGGCCAGTGCAGTACACCTGTCATTTGAACCCTAGCCAGTTCAGTACACCTGTCATTTGAACCCTGGCCAGCGCAGTACACCTGTCATTTGAACACTGGCCAGTGCAGTATTCTATCTCCTAGACCAGCCAAGTACCGACTAGCGAGTTCAGCTGGAGATTTACTAGCCGGCCTATTCAGGATTTTGCTCTCATGTGGGGGTAAAATTGTTCGTACGAAGTTTAACCAAAAGTTTCACGTGCTATGATGAGATTTGTGTGTGTGTGTGTGTGTGTGTTAAAAAGTCATGTATCAAGACGATTTGACGTTATGTTAAGCCATACAATTCGTATGTTAAAAGTGTATAGTGTGAAGTTTAACCTGAAATGTCATATATCAAAAGTATCTGATGTGAGGTTTAACCTACTAATGAGTATGTTATACAGCGGGTTACATGTCATGTACTATTGTGTTGTATGTTGTATTAAAGTTGTATTAAAGTTGTATTAAAGTTGTATTAAAGTTATATCCTGTACGATTTATTTTTCAAGTATGTTGTGATGTGAGTAAATTGTTTAATTTATAAGGCAGAGTAAACATTGTGTATAGTTCAGTGTTTTAACATGATTGTGTCACTGTATAAAGAAGGTTTTGTTTTGAATCTAGTCGTGTATTAATGATCGTGTTGT